TACACATTTAGTGTGTGGAAAATCTAGGCAGCTAAGGGCTGTTTAGCATCTCACCTTGATCATTTGGCAAGAAGGGGCTTTCAAAATTATATTTGTTGATGGTAACTTTTCAATTAATGTATCTGTAAAAGTTTCTTTGTAAATACTGTGTGTTAGTGTGTCTTGAGATTCCAAACAAAATGATCCCTGCATTTCCTGAAGATGGTTGATGTAACAGTTTGAGCAAAGCTGTCTGAGCAAGTGATAGGAAATGCAGAAATAGGTTTTGTCTGGTTGCATATAATCTTTGCTCTTTTTAAGCTCTGTGAGCTCTGAAATATATTTTTGGGTTACTTCAGTGTGTTTGACAAGACAGCTTGATATTTCTATCAAACAAATGACTTTCATATTGCAACAATCTTTGTAAGAACCACTCAAATAAAATTCTCTGAAAAAGGACACAAGAAAATTTTCGTTCTTCAAATGCTTATGTTACAAACTTGAGCATAGGCTGTCGTGGTTTTGTTTTCAAATTAGTGTCTCTGCATTATAGTTTAGGTTTACCAATATTTGAAGATGATACTGTCTCAGCCTGTGGATTGCTAAGATTTGGTATATATGTGTATCCACACACGTATTAATTTGCTTCATTCTTAGTAATAGTATTTCCTAGTGCGGGAAATATTTTTCAACATCTTGGGCTTCTTATCAGTCACCAAGGTATGTCCCTTCTGTTGAAGAAAAGCTGACCCTTGGCTAATGCTCTGGAACAGCATTCATCGATATGTCTTTGGGTCGTCTCTCAAAAGGTCGGAAAGTTTTTACCTTGATCTCCGAACACAGTAGCTTCTAAACTCATAACTAGGGAGAAAGTCTATTCTGCTTGTACTTGATAGATTTGATTGAGTTCTGTCCTTTTCTAAGTCCTATACAAATATTTCTGGTTTAAGGGGTAGCCCTGAACTGCAGTGCCAAATTTGCTTTGAGCTCTTTAATGTGTCTTATGTATGTGAACCCAAACATTCTTGAAGGGCTGACAATACTGCCTCAGCTAGGCTTCAATCACTGCACTTCTCCAAATGCTGAAACAGTCTTTATTTTTTTTTTTGTTTTGTTTTTCGAGGCAGCGTTTCTCTGTGGTTTTGGAGCCTGCCCTGGAACTAGCTCTGTAGACCAGGCTGGTCTCGAACTCAGAGATCCACCTGCCTATGCCTCCCAAGTGCTGGGATTAAAGGTGTGCATTTAGTATTTTGGGTTTAGTTTTGTTCCAGGGTTCCTGGACATGCTTTGTAGACTAGTTAGGCCTCTAATTTAGAGATCTCTGTGCTTCTACCTCATGCGTGCTGGGATTAAAGGCCTTTTTTACCTCAGCCAGCCTTTGTTTTTAATTTATTTTGAGGCAAGGCCTCCTGTAGTCTTGAGAGTCTGTCTTGGAGCATCTGACCTATTTTTCTGTTTAAAAATAATTTTAATGCTACATGAACATTTGCCAGCGTATCTCACATGCACCACATACATGCTTGGTGCCTGTGGAGGTCCTCTGAAATTGGGGTTATGGGTGCCTGAGAGTCACAAATTTTGATTTTGGGGGACTGAAGTCAGAGCTTGTTAGACATTTTTTTCCTATTTTATGTAAATTGGTGTTTTGCCTACATGAATGTGACTGTTTCAAATTCTCTAAGTGGAATTAGACAAGTTATAAGCTGTCATGTGGGTGCTGGGAAATGAGCCCTGGGTCCACAGAACAGTCAGTGCTCTTAGCTCTGCAGTAAGCATTCTTAAGCTCTGAGCTCTCCTACCCATATTTTCATTTTCACAATAGGCAGTATGAATTCCAATGGATTTTCATAGCATGCCAATTTTTTTTTTTTTTTTTTTTTTTTTGAGACAGAGTTTCTCTGTAGCCTTGGAGCCTGTCCTGGAACTAGCTCTTGTAGACCAGGCTGGTCTCGAAGCATGCCAATTTCTTTAAAGGTTGCGTCAACTATAGGATAATATTGAATCTGCTCTTTTACATGTAACCAGTGTAACAAGTACATCCAAGCTTGCCAATCAACACATCTTTAATTGTAGATAAGGGGATGGAAGTAAAAATTGCTTGAATAAAAATAATCAGAAAGTATTTTGAAGTGTCCATTCTGAGTGAAATCCTTTAGATCTTTAACTGTGGTTTCCCTCTTAGATAAGAAATCTATATATAGTTGGGCTGGAGAGATGGCTCAGAGGTTACCAACTGACTGCTCTTCCAATGGTCCTAAGTTCAATTCCCACTAACCACATGCTGGCTCACAACCATCTGTACTGAGATCTGGCGCCCTCTGGTATGCGGGCATACATTGAGGCAGAATGTTGTATACATAGTAAATAAATAAATCCTTTAAAAATAAAAAAAGGAGGGCTGGAGAGATGGCTCAGTGGTTAAGAGCATTGCCTGGTCTTCCAAAGGTCCTGAGTTCAATTCCCAGCAACCACATGTTATGAGGTCTGGTGCCCTCTTCTGGGCTGCAGACATACACACAGAATATTGTATACATAATAAATTAAAAAAAGGAAATCTATAGATCTAAAGTCTTAATTTACTTTTCCATGTGCCCTCAAATCACATTTTTGTTTATTGACTAATCAAGTTCTGTTTGAAATACAGTTGAAGAGTAATCAAAATCCGTAAGAAACAGTCAAATTAAGTCTGTACTTCATGACAGTGGGGTTGTGCTAATAAACAGGATTTTATGAGGAGGCTAATTAATTAAAATATCCAATATTGAAGTGAGGATGGTTAGTAGAAGTGAAATGATATAGGCAGTCAAGAAAACTGGCTGTTCATTGTTTTTCATATCAGACATGAATCTGCAAAGACAAATCTCAGGATATACAATTTTATTTGGTTAATAGGTCATTTTGCTGTGTGTCCTTGTTCAAATTGTATACTGTGTACCATCAAGGGATTAATGTTTACAATATTTAATACACTGAGTACAGTGAGCCAGGATCTGTGAGAATATTTGTATCTCGAGACAGTTTTCATGTAGCTTTGGAGGCTATCCTGGAACTAGGGTATGTGGTCTAGGCTGGCCTCTTAACTCACAGAGATCACCTTCCTCTGCCTACCATCACTATCCAGTGGGAAACATCTCATTAGCTCAAATTTAAACACTTTTTCAACCAGTCTATCTAGCAATGGCTGCTCCCATCTACAGAGTACTGGGATTAAATTTGTATCCCAACGATTCTGGCAAGACATTTAAGTATTAGTGATGCGTTTGCATGTATTCAAGGTACACCATGTGTGCCTGAAGAGTCAAGATGATCCCAGGGAACTCGAGTTAAGTAACCATGTGGACACTGACCTCAGTAATCTCTTAAATCCTTGGTATATGCTTTCAAATGCTATGTCTTAAGTAAAAATAGTCTGTGAGAAGGAAAAAACTTTTATTGTACAGGGGTCAAAATGGATGGCAAAGTATAGATGTAGCAGGCAGTCACTGCCCTGATTAGCATCGTATGCCCATTCCGATGGCCATGAATGTCCCAAAGGTGCCGCCACTCTGCATCATGGTTTTCCCAATGCCGCCCATCAGTTCCCGACCCCGCATTCCGATCCTGAAGAGGCAAACAAGAAGGGGTCATGTAGGAATAAAAATACAGGAAAGATCTGAATTAACTTCCTCTATAATCAGTGTTGAAGTAGGTCAAGCATTAAAAGCGACAATCCCTTTACCTTATTTGTCTTTGTTTTTTCCCTGAGACAGGCAGGGTTTCTCTGTAGCTTTGGAGCCTGTCCTGGAGCTAGCTCTTGTAGACCAGGCTGGTCTCGAACTCACAGAGATCCGCCTGCCTCTGCCTCCTGAGTGCTGGGATTAAAGGCGTGCGCCACCACGGCCCAGCATGTTTTATTTTTTGAGACAGGGCTCTGTAACTTTGGAGCCTGTCCTGGCACATCTGTACACCAGGCTGGCCTTGAACTCCTAGATCCTTCTGCCTCTACCTCCAGACTGTTTGGATTAAATGTGTGCGCCTGGTTTGTCATTCTTAAAATGTTACTCTTCACCCCCCTTTGGAGGAACAGTAATAGATGTGTAAATTGTAAAGCAGACATCATTACATTTATAAACTTTGTAACTGCACTATTTAGCAAGATATTTAGCTCGTACCGAATAAATAGCAACATATATATGTACATTATCCCAATGTGGAGATGGCCTTTAGAACAACAGTATTGTTTCAGAGGTAGGACACTGGAGTACAATAGTTTATCGGCTTTATCTCTACAACTTATTCTGAGGATAGTAAAGCGGCTCAACACAGTTGGAAGTTAAAATGCCATACAACAATAACGATTGACGACGATATGCCAGATTATATGTAAAGCATACTAATATGATTGGTTTTTCCAAAGTACAGCTAAAGTACTGTCCTCGACTACAGTTGAGGAAATTCTGCCTCTAACTTGCTTAAGGTCACTGAACTACAAAAGAGTCAGAAAGCCATTCTGACTCTAGAGCTCAGATCCCCAAGCAGTCGGCTTCCAACCACAACCAAGTGTGCTCTCGCGTCCGAGGGATCCAGGAAGTCCCGTCCGCGACGCTCACCTGAGACAGGAGAAGGTGCCGAACAGCGCCCCGGCCGCCATGCCCACGGCGCAACCCATGACAAAGCCCATCTTCACACGGTCGAAGCAGCTGGGCTGGGACTGCCCGTAGGGACCCACGGCCACCGGCATCTGGGAGAGAGGGCTAGGACAGTGAGGGCCCGGCCGCCAGTCGCGGCGTCACCCAGCGGCTCACGGAAGGGCTCCGCAGGACCCAGGCCCGAAGCCAGACCGTAGCACGCCCCCACACCCGTTCTCGCGGTCCCGGATCCCGTACGCGTGACGCCGGGTCGCTCCGGCCCCACCTCACCTCGTTCGCCGCCGCGTTCGCTAGGCTCTACGTCTCACACCGAAAGCTAGGCGGAGGGCGCTCTCCTCCCGTCCGATCGCTTCCGGAGCGCAGGCCAGTTACTTCCGGGAGCATGGGCTGAGGACTTGAAGCGCTGTGGATGGTGGGCTCTACTGCTGCCAGCATGCTGCGAGCCACTTGGAGGCGGGCGGCACGGGCTGCTGCCGCTGCGGCCCGGCCGAGGTTCACGGCGCCCACCCGGGGATTGCGCCTGCGCGGTACGCTCCCCTTCCGTTTAGGGCCCGTTCACCCTGGCTGTCCGAACCGGTTGCGTTGTTGCTGCTACGCACAGCACTGGTGCGGAGCTTGCCCGCCGGGTTCCAGACTCTAAACCTTCCCGTTGCTTACTCTCACATTTTCTCGGTTCGGCCCTTACATCCTGCCACGTCTGAGCCGGGATCTCATCTTTCAGATCTCTCCCGGCCAACTGTTAAAGATGTTAGTCGAGGCTCCTCCAGCCTTGACGCTATTAAAGGAACCTGCGCTTTTCATTTATAAGTGTTTTTGCTATTTAGAGCGCATCCCACTCCGCTGGATAGTGTGAAGATTGCTCCCTATTGCCGCCGGCGTCCCTTCAGGAATCTTGAGCCTATAACTTTCCTAGATGTCTTTTACCGCGCGTTGTTTTCTTTTCCTTTGACGGTCGACCTCAACCTTCCATAATTCACCTCGAAGCAACTTTGACTATCTTTTTCTTGTGTACCTTGTGTCCACAGTTGCAGCGTTTCTCATTTTCCCCTCCACTCTGTTGTCCGTTGTAGATAATGCTCTCCTTTCGGCTGTACCCTCAGAGGCAGTGCTGCGACCTCTCTATATGGATGTGCAGGCTACAACGCCTCTGGTAAGGACTAAGGACAGCTTTCCTCGAGGCTTTTTGAAGGGACAAAAGGTTAGAAGAACACATTTCACCGAAAGGCTAGATTTCTGTAGGATTGAGAACCATTAAATGTGCTAGAAAAGGGAGCCAGAATCAGGAGTTTAGATTTTTGATCACCAGAAAAGGCTTTATTGCTTTTTTGGTTGTTTTTTTGTTTTTTTTTTGTTTTTGTTTTTTTTTTAAGCTATTGACCTTGGTGTTGTAGTTAACAGTGAATGCTCAGGCCTTGGAGCAGGACCTTGTGGCACCCGGAGTTTAAGAGTGCTCCAGGCCAGCCTGGACCACATAGAGATCTCAAACCTATGTAAAAGTAAAAAGGAAAGGAGGAAGCAGGAACGAAAAAAGAACGCAGACAAACACACACACATGGGCTCTGGAATTAGCAGGACTACCATGTAATAACTGTGTGAATTTGGTCAAGTGTTAAGTGAACTGAAAACATATACTAGTCTAACACATGGTAAGCATGAAATAAAAGTTGCTGAGCTGGATCTGTCACTCAGGTGGTAGAGTACTTGCCTGGAATGTAGGAAGCCCTGCGTTCAATCCCCAGCACCACATAAAACTGAATTACTGGCCGGGCGGTGGTGGTGCACGCCTTTAATCCCAGCGCTTGGGAGGCAGAGGCAGGCGGATCTCTGTGAGTTCGAGACCAGCCTGGTCTACAAGAGCTAGTTCCAGGACAGGCTCCAAAGCCACAGAGAAACCCTGTCTCGAAAAACCAAAAAACAAAAACAAACAAACAAACAAAAAAAGCTGAATTACTATAATCCCAGCACTGGGGAGGCAAAGGCAGGAAGATTAGACTCTTAGGTCATTTTTGGCTACCTCATCAGTCTGAGACTAGTCAGGAATCCACGCGATTGCATTTATTTATTTCTTTTATCTTACAAGTAAGTGCCTATGTTTGTGTGCTGCATGTATGCAGTGCCTGTGGATTCCAGAGAGGGTGTTGGATCCCCTAGAACTGTAGTTATATAGGCCCTTGTGAGCTGCCATGTTAATGCTAGAAATTGAACCTGGGTCCTCTGGAAGAGCAGCCATAGTTAAGTGGTCTCTCAGCTATCTCTCTTGAATCTGAGACTCTTGTTTAAAAAAAAAAAAACAACCTAGTAATTTGGTGCTAAGTAGATATCCTGCTAGCTATGGCCCAGTCCCTTTTTTGGTTTGGTTTGGTTTGGTTGGGTTTTTTGTTTAGTTTTATTTTGTTGTTGTTTTGGGTTTTTTTGGTTTTGGTTTTGGTTTTTTATTTGGGGGGAGGGGCGTTGATTTTGGGAGACAGAGTTTCTCTATAACAGCGCTGGCTGTCCTGGAACTCACTTTATAGACCAAGCTGGTCTTGAACTCACAGTTCTGCCTCTGTCTTCTGAGTGCCAGCATTAAAGGCATGTGCCACTACATCCAGCCCAGTTCCATTATGAATACAAATTTTCATTCATGTGTATGGAAGGATGTTTGCCTGATTTCATCAAATGCCAACACTGGCTTTATTTATCTATTTATTATTTTCTGACATAGGATTTCTCTGTGTAGCCTTGTCTGTCCTAGAGCTTGATCTATGGACCAGGCTGGACTCAGAGATCTGCCTGCCTCTGCCTCACAAATGCAGGGGTGAGGATGAAAGGCATGCGCCATGGTTTATTTATTGTTTTAAGACAAGGTCTCTTCAATGTCAACCTGGTCTACAAAGTACGTTCCAAGTCAGCTAGGGCTGTTATACAGAGAAACCCTGTCTCAAACAAACAGACAAGACAGTGTCTCACTGTGCAGTCCTGACTTCCCTTAACTCCCTTTGTAGATCAGGCTCACTTCGAACTCACAGAGATCCTGTTGCCTCTGCCTCTTGAGTTCTGGATTAAAGGTTTATGCTACCACACTGGCAAGTCACAGCCCTTTGTAACTCATTTCGTGGCAGGAACGGCGTCATCTGTAGCAACAGTTGTAAGAATAGGACTGGGTGGGATGGGAATGTAAATGGCAGAGCACTTGCTCAGCATGCGCCCAGCCTTTGGGATTAAAGGCCTGCACCACCATACTCAGCAGCAAAATTACAACTGCATAAGACCTTGTCTTTCAATCAATAAATAGAAGAAAAATTAAAGACAGTGTTTGTAAACTGCTTGAGGGATTGGTAGAGCAGTGGGATTTCAGGTGGTTTTGAAGTGGGGGGTATTTCAGGTCAATACTTGATTCGTATGTGGGAGGGTGGAAGAAGGCAGGCAGCATCCAAGGACTGGAAACTTACCGAGCGAGGTGGGCGGTGATCAGTGGATGGAGTAGGTTCTGAGTTCACTATGAGCTCAAGAAGACTGACCGGTTCTCTTGTATTCAGGACCCCAGGGTACTTGATGCCATGCTCCCATACCTTGTGAACTACTACGGGAACCCACATTCTCGGACTCATGCGTACGGCTGGGAGAGCGAGGCAGCCATGGAACATGCTCGCCAGGTTAGCACAAAGGACTCTCTGGCGTTTGGGAGTCAGGTTCGGTGGCCTGTGGGAGGCATTCTTTCTTAGGAAATGGTTTTGTTTCTGAGAGTTTGATTGCAGGTGTTTAATTACTTCTCATGCACTAGGTGAAGAACCTCAGGCAAATCACCTCATTTCTCTAAGCCTTAAGATTCTCACCTATCAAGTGGAAAGTGAAATGGTTCATACTTGTAAGGTTATTGGGTAAATTACATGAGCCAGTGGTGGTAAAGGTTAACAGCTATCACGTAGCTCAAAAGGTACTTAATTCAGTAAATATTTTTTTTAAATATTTATTAATTTATTTATTATGTATACAATATTCTGTCTGTGTGTATGTATACCTGCAGGCCAGAAGAGGGACCAGACCTCATTACAGATGGTTGTGAGCCACCATGTGGTTGCTGGGAATTGAACTCAGGACCTTTGGAAGAACAGGCAATGCTCTTAACCTCTGAGCCATCTCTCCAGCCCGTTAATATATTTTTAAAATGCATTTCATAGCCGGGAGGTGGTGGCGCATGCCTTTAATCCCAGCATTTGGAAAGCGGAGAGAGGCGGATCTCTGTGAGTTCTAGGCTAGCCTGGTCTACAGAGTGAATTCCAGGACTGACTCCATAGCTACTGGGAAACCTGTCTCAAAATAGAAAAACAAAACAAAAAAACAAAAAGAATACATTTCTTGGGACGGTGTGATGCCTGCATAGGTACCTTAACCTGGCGACTTAAGTTTGATCCCCCAAAACCCACATACTGTGGCATAAATGTCCCAAACCAAAAATAAATGAAAAAAATTATTTAAAAACAAAATTTACTATTAAAATTACTTATTTTTTCATTCATGCATATGGATGTTTTGCTTGTGTATGTGTGTGTTTGTACTATGTATGAACCTGGTACCTGAAAAGGCCATTGGAGGCTGTCAGATCCCTGGGAACTGTGAGTTAACGATGATTGGGAGCCACCATGTGGATGCTGGGAACTGAAACTGGGTCCTCTGTGAGAAAGGCGAGTGACTTGATGCCTGGGCCATTTTTTCCAGTTCCTTACTTGACATTTTGTTAGAATTTTTTTGTTGGTTTTGTTTTTGGGTTTTTTTGTAATAGTATTTGTGTAATAAATAGCTCTGGCTGTCCTAGAACTCACTCTGTGGTCCAGGCTGGCCTTAAATCTCAAACTTACAGGGATCCACATGCCTCTGCCTCCGGAGTGCTGGGATTAAAGGATGTGTGCCATCACACCAAGCAGAAATTTTTTTTTTTGTTTTTGGGTTTTTTTTTTTTTCTCTGTGTAGCTTTGGAGCCTGTCCTAGAACTTGCTCTGTAGACCAGGCTGGCCTTGAACTCAGAGATTCTCCTGCTTCTGCCTCACAAGTGCTGGGATTAAAAGCATGCACCACCACTACCCAGCTGTTTTGTTTTTTGAGACAGAGTTTCTTTGCATAGTCCTGACTGTCCTGGAACTTACTCTGTAGATCAGACTGTCCTCAAACTCATAGAGATCAGCCTGCCTCTGCCTCCTGAGTGCTGGGATTAGATTAAGGACATGTGCCACTACCACCTGGCAAAAAAATATTTTTTTAAAGTTACAAATGTGTATGTATGCATTTTTGTGCTTGCTTGGGTGCATGTATGTGTACACATATGTACCAAAGTATGTAGTGTTGAGGCCAGAGGGCAACGTGGAGCAGACTGTCTTCTTCCTCTGTGGATCTCGGGGCAGGAAACCTGGGTTGCCAGGTTCTGCAGCAGGATCTTTACCCACTGATCCACCTCACTGGCTCCCTACTTTGGTTGTTTAAGATCAGTTTCACACTCTAGTCTAAGACGGCTTGGACCTCACTGTGTGTTCCAGGCTGGCCTCAAACTCAGGCCGCTGTCTTACCTCAGCTTCCTGAGTGCTGGGATTTCAGGCATGCACCATCATACCTGGTATATGCAGCACTGGGAATGAGCCCAGGGCTTCATAAATATCAGGCAAGCACTCTACCGCCTGAGCTACATTTGGCATTCTCACTAGCCTGTCCTAGAATGGAGAAAGGCTAGCATACTGGAGCTGTAACAGTCAGTTCCTTGTTCAGCCCGCATCCGACCTGGCGGCAGGTGGAATGCAGTAGAAGGCTGCTGCAGAACCCAGTTCTCGCTGTGTCTGCAGCCCCACTCCTGCCCTGTGACTCAGCTGTGTATCTTTGGCTCTTGGTTTACAGCAAGTAGCATCTCTGATCGGAGCCGATCCTCGAGAGATCATTTTTACTAGTGGAGCGACTGAGTCCAACAACATAGCAATTAAGGTAAGAGACGGGGTTGAGGGGGCGTTGTATCGTGGAATACTTCCAGCATGCGAGGCACATTTGGGAAGACGAGGGTCAGGAGGAAACAGAAGGGAGACAGAAACTATCTATGGGCTTTCTTGAGTTTAGAGATTAGTGCTTTCCGGGCGGTGGTGGCGCACGCCTTTAATCCCAGCACTCGGGAGGCAGAGGCAGGCGGATCTCTGTGAGTTCGAGACCAGCCTGGTCTACAAGAGCTAGTTCCAGGACAGGCTCCAAAACCACAGAGAAACCCTGTCTCGAAAAACAAAAACAAAAAAAACAAACAAAAAAAAAAAAAGACATTAGTGCTTCTCTATCGTTTGGACTCATTGATGTATTTTTTCCAACTACTCACTCATTCCTATTTCTTTTGCCTTAAAAAAAAAATTGTAGCCAGGCAATGGTAGCGCACACTTTTAATCCCAGTACTTGGCAGAGGCAGGCAGATCTCCCTGTGAGTTTGATTCCATCTTCCTCTACAGAGCTAGTTCCAGGACAACTATGGCTGTTACACAAAGAAACCTTGTCACGAAAAATCAAAAAAAGAAAAAGGAATTGTTTTGGAGTCATCAGACAACTTTGTAGAGCCTGAAATCTCCTCCACTTTTCCTCAGGTTCTGAGTATCAAATTTAAGTCACTAGGCAAGTACCTTTGCCTACTGAGGAGTCTTGCGAGCTCTTCTTCAGCCCTTTGTGTCTGTATTGTCTTTTATCCTATTGGTCTGAGCTCAGTGTGGCAGTGGGTAGCTCTTAGACCAGTAACTGTTTGTTTTTTTTTAGGTTGTTCGTCCTTTAAAAAAAAAAAAAAGTGGAATGCAGTAACTATCTTGGTTTCTGTTGCCATGGTAAAACACCGTGACTGATGGCAGCTCGGAGGAAAGGGTGCCTTTCACCTTACAAGTTACAGTCCTTGATGAGAAGTCAGGGAGAGAGCTCAGGGCAGGAACTGAAAGTAGACGCCATGGAGAGGCACTGCTTACAGCTTCTTCCCCTGGCTTACTCAACCTGCTTTCTTACATCACCCAGAGCCTCCGGCCCAGGGGTAGCTCCACCCACAGTGTGTTAGGCCCTCTCCGTTAATCATTAATAAAGCAAAGTGCCTCACAGATTGGCTACAGCCAATCTGATGGGGGCATTTTTTTCAGCTAGGTTGCTGTTCTCAGGTGACTGTGACTTGTTTTGGGTTCACAAAAGCTCACAGGGATTAGTTTGCTCTCACTGCCTGATCAAGGCCACATTCCTACCAGCTTTCCCTTTTCTTTCTGATTAGATCTGTTTACAAAATTCCTCTGTATTTTGAGTACTTGTTGCTTTGGTATCTTCTGTGCCTTTCATTTGGACTTGGTCTTTTGGTTTCAGTCTTTCTAGATTTGGGGCATGCAGATGCCTTGTGCAAGTGTCCCACTCTTTTTTTTTTTTTACATATTTATTTATTTATTATGTATACAATATTCTGTCTGTATGCCTGAAGGCCAGAAGAGGGCGCCAGACCTCTTTACAGATGGTTGTGAGCCACCATGTGGTTGCTGGGAATTGAACTCAGGACCTTTGGAAGAGCAGGTAATGCTCTTAACCACTGAGCCATCTCTCCAGCCCTCCACTCTTAATAGTCATGGTGATTTTTCTTTTTTTTCTTTTCTTTCTTTTTTTTTTTTTTTTTTTTTTTTTTTGGTTTTTTGAGACAGGGTTTCTCTGTAGCTTTGGTGCCTGTCCTGGAACTCCCTTTGTAGACCAGGCTGGCCTCGAACTCACAGAGATCCGCCTGCCTCTTCCTCCTGAGTACTGGGATTAATGGCATGCGCCACCACCACCCGGCATGGTGATCTTTCATACAATGTAATGCAATCACGTTTTACTTAGATCTAGCAAATTTATTTGTCTATTTTTTTTATTTATTTAGTTTTTGGTATTGGACAGCTAGACTCTCAAGCTTGCTAAAGTCAGCTGTACCACTTGTACTACTTATAAGTTATTATTCTGATATCCTGCCTCTTTTTAAAAAAATTTTTTTGACACTGTGTAGTTCTGGCTTACCCAAACTTGCTCTGTAGACTAGGCTGGCCTTGAACTCTGAGAGATCTGCCTGCTTTTGCATCCTGAATGTAGGATTAAAGGCATGTGCCACTGTACCGGGCTTTTCTGAGATGAAAAAAGTGTTTTATTTTAACTTTGTGTATCTGTGTGTAGGTATGTTGATGGGAATGCAGTGTCCTCAGAGGTCAGAGGCATTAGATCCCTCTGGAGCTAATTTTTTTTTAAATATTTATTTATACAATACAACATTCTGTCTGTGTGTATGCCTGCAGTCCAGAAGAGGGCACCAGACCCCATTACAGATGGTTGTGAGCCACCATGTGGTTGCTGGGAATTGAACTCAGGACCTTTGGAAGAGCAGGCAATGCTCTTAACCTCTGAGCCATCTCTCCAGCCCTTTTTTTGGTTTTTAGAGACAGGGTTTCTCTGTGGCTTTGGAGCCTGTCCTGGAACTAGCTCTGTAGGCCAGGCTGGTCTCGAACTCACAGAGATCCACTTGCCTCTGCCTCCCGAGTGCGTGCGCCACCACCTGGAGCTAATTATAGATGACTGTGAGCCACCCAGTGAGTGTGTTGGGAGCCAAACTGAGTCTTCTACAGGAGCAGTAGTCTCTCTTAACCACGAGATATCTCTCCAGCCCTCATTTTTATCATTTTAAATTTTTTAGTTTTTGAAAAATCATTTGTGCACCTGACAATATTAATGTCTCCTTTTTTAAGGATTTATTATTTACTTAAAATTTTCTGTGGGGGAGGGTTGGAGAGATGGCTCAGTGGTTAAGAGCACTAACTGCTCTTCCAGAGGACTCATGTTCCATTCCCAGTACCCATATGACAGCTCACAACTGTCTGTAACTCTAGTTCCAGGGGAACTAACACCCAATTAGAGCTTGGTGGTAGTGTGAAGGCATAAATCACAAACAATCCCGCACAAGTTTGGAATTATGATTAATAGAATGGTTATTTATTTAAAAGGGAAAAAACTTACAGATCACCGTCCCAGACAACAGCCCTCTGCACAATCAGGAAAAGAGCCATTTTTAAAGGCAAGAAACTTTTCAAAACTATCTTACCCAGCCGGGCAGTGGTGGCGCACGCCTTTAATCCCAGCACTCGGGAGGCAGAGGCAGGTGGATCTCTGTGAGTTCGAGACCAGCCTGGTCTACAAGAGCTAGTTCCAGGACAGGCTCCAAAACCACAGAGAAACCCTGTCTCGAAAAACAAAAACAAACAAACAAACAAAAAAAAACTATCTTACCCTGTCTTGGCAGGATATGACAGTCAATTTTTTAAATTGATTTTTAAATTAGCATACTAAGTAATGGGTTTTATTACAGCATTTTCATACACATATGCCAGTTTACTGTACTCCTGTTTCTTCGCCTCCCGCATTTCCCTGCTCCATCCTTGCTGGTCCCTTTGGCCATCCCTCACAAACTCTCCTTTCTCTTTCACGTCATCTATATTCACTACCTTCCCTTGCTCCCTTCCTCCCCTCGCCACCTCGATTGTCTCTCCAGCCGGGGAGGTGCTCAGTGGTTAGTGTACTTGCTGTGCAAGTTCAGAGCACAGGTAAAGCAGGGTATAATAGTGTGTGTGTGCCTCGCTGGGAGGTGAAGACAGGAGACGCTCCAGGGCCTTGCAGGTCAGAACAAGCAGCAAAGAGGCCGTGCCTCCAGTAGAGTGGAAGGTGAGGACTGACACCAGAGGCCGTCCCAGGACTTCCAGACACACGTTCTTGTCCTCATGCCATGAGCATGCAGACAGACACATATATACAAAGATTGCTTTTCCCTTTTCATGGCACCTTTTCTACCTTTGTGACTTAGAAACACACACACATGTCTATATTCACACACACGCACGTGTAACCATATTCCACTTAAGAGAGAACATGTTGCCGGGCAGTGGTGGCGCACGCCTTTAATCCCAGCACTCAGGAGGCAGAGGCAGGTGGATCTCTGTGAGTTCGAGGCCAGCCTGGTCTACAAGAGCTAGTTCCAGGACAGGCTCCAAAGCTACAGAGAAACCCTGTCTCAGAAAAACTAAAAAAAAAAAAAAAAAAAAAAAAAAAAGAGAGAGAGAGAACATGTTATTTGTGTTTTATAATTAATTAATTGATTAATTTGTATGTCTGCATGCATGTGCCACAGTACACATGTTGAGGTCAGAGAATAACTGTGGTAGATGGTTCCATCATGGGCTCCAGGGATGAACTCAGTCTGCCTTTTGGCAATTGCTCTTACCTGCTGGACCGACTCACTGGCCCAGAATTTGTTTCTGTATTTGACTTACGTTTCTTAACATAATGATTTCTGATTTCATTCATTTTTCTGAAAATATTATTATTTTATTTTTCATTATGACTGAATTAAATGCCATGTGTATGTACCACATTTTCTTTATCTGTTCATCTGTTGATGCACATTTAGGCTGGTTCCATTTCTCAACTATTATAAATAGGTCAGCAAAACTGGGTGTGATGGTATGCAGCCTTAATCCCAGCACTCAGGAGGCAAAGGCAGGCTGATTTCTGTGAGTTCAAGGCCAGCCTTGTCTACAGAGCGAGTTCCAGGACAGGCTCCAAAGCTACACAGAGAACCTCTGTCTCCAAAAACAAAACAAACAAAAATTCCTGAATGGTATTAGGGATTGAACCCTCAAACATACACTATTCAATAAGAACATCTCACATAAAAACAGAAGAGACATCCAAACTTACCATGTTGCAAAACAGATGCAGAAGAAACCTGGAAAAGACTCCTTAACTACTGAATCAAGAACAATTTACTAGGGGGCTGGAGAGATGGCTCAGAGGTTAAGAGCACTGGCTGCTCTTCCAGAGGTCCTGAGTTCAATTCCCAGCAAACACATGGTGGCTCACAACCATCGGTACTGAGATCTGGCACCCTTCTCTGGCATACGGGCATACATCGAGGCAGAATGTTGTATACATAATAAATAAATAAATAAATAACAATTTACTAGTGAAAGTCATCACCCTGCATGGGCAGCCTCGGGTGTCACCCTCATGAACACCAGCCGGATTGAGACAGGGTTTCTCATTGCATAGGTGCTCACTAACTGAGCTGTCCTACCTGGCTGGTGGTCACTGGGGCTCTCCTGTCTCTGCTTCCCCAGAAATGGGATGGCAAGAACACTGGGCTCTAGGATAGAACCCAGGTCGTTTATTTAAACTTCAAAAAAAAAACATTTATTTTTTAGTTTATGTGTATTTTGCCTGCATGCTTGTGTGCCCTCTGAGCCCCAGGAGGGTGTCGGGTGCCCTGTCAAGGACAGTAGTGAGTCACCAGTGGATGCTGAGTACAGAATCCAGGTTCTCCGTAGGAGCCGTCGCTCCAACCTCATAGGTCCTTATGTGTGTACAGCAAACACTTTTTATTTTTATTTATTTTTTTTTTTGAGATGATATCTCACTATGTTGCTCAGGCTGGTTTCAAACTTAGAGTTCAAATGATCCTCCTTCCTCGGCCTCCATAGTACAAGGACTGCAGGCTATTGCACTCCATTATGTTTATTTTCCTTCTTACTTCCTCCCTCGCTCTCTTTTCCACTCCCTCCCTTTTGTTAGTTCCTTGGTTTGTTCAAAGACAAGGTCTCACTAAGTAACCCAGAACTTATTCTGTAGACCGAGGTGGTTCCTTTTGCAAATGCCCCCTAAGTGCTGAAACTATAGGTATGTGGCCTATGATTTTTGTTTGTTTGCTTGTCTTTTAAGTAAAATAAATGTTCTCATTCTTTATTTTATTACACTTGAAATTTCAAGTGTGGTGTGACTCCCTGACATCCTACACTCACGTCCAGAGCTCTTCTTAGCCTATCTTTATAATTTCTTAAAATGTTAAAAATATTACATACGTGAGTAGGAACTTGGTCTGTGACATAGAATATCTTTAGCATGCTTGAGGCTTTTTTTTTTTTTTTTTTTTTTTTGGTTTTTCGAGACAGGGTTTCTCTGTAGCTTTGGAGCCTGTCCTGGAACTAGCTCTTGTAGACCAGGCTGGCCTCGAACTCTCAGAGATCCGCCTGCCTCTGCCTCCCGAGTGCTGGGATTAAAGGCGTGCGCCACCACTGCCCGGCTTGCTTGAGGCTTTTTAGCAGACACTCACAGAAAGACTTTTATAAATAGGATTCATGGTAGGCAGTGGTAGTGCATGCCTTTAATACCAGCACTCGGAAGTCAGAGACTGGTGGATCTCTGTGAATTTGAGGCCGCTGTGGTCTATGGAGCGAGTTTTCTTTCTTTTTTTTTAAATTATTATTATTTTTTTAAAAAAGAAAACAAATTATCTTTTTTCATTTTATATACCAATTCCAGTTCCCACTCCCTCCCCTCCTCTCATTCCCTTTACCTACCCCTTTACCCCGCCCCATCCACTCCTCAGAGAGGGTAAGGTACGTGCTTTGGGGAAGGTCCAAGGCTATATCCAAACATGGAGCTAGTTTTCTAGGACAGGCTCCAAAGCTACAGAGAACCCTGTCTCAAAAAAAACCAATAACAACAACAACAACAACAAAAACCCAAAACAAAAAAAAATAGGCTTCATATCCTTGCTACCTCTGTATATTGTCCTTTTTTTAATTATCATCTTTTTTTTAGGGAGTGGCCAGGTTCTACAGGTCACGGAAAAAGCACGTCGTCACCACCCAGACTGAACACAAATGTGTGCTGGATTCCTGCCGCTCACTGGAAGCTGAGGGCTTTCGGGTCACATACCTCCCAGTGCAGAAGAGTGGGATCATTGACCTAAAGGTAGGAGTCCTATGCTAGGCATGAGGGACAAAACTGGAGTAATCCTGTAAGTCTGTCTCCAGCGTTGGGTGGAGCCTCAAAGTTGAGCTAATGGTGAGAATGGAGCATGGAACAAACCCGCCGAGAAGGAGATTATGTTCTCTGAATGTGTACTGCTCTTCTCTGGAAAACTTGCCTCTTAGTTCTTTTGGTGATCCTGTTGTCTGAGAGCTACTGGACATGAGTGTAGGACGTCAGGGAGTCACACCACAGCACCACAGAAGAGCTACTGGACATGAGTGTAGGACGTCAGGGAGTCACACCACAGGAGAGCTCTGGTCGTGAATGTAGGATATCAGGGAGTCACACCATAGAAGAGCTCTGGACATGAGTGTAGGATGTCAGGGAGTCACACCACAGAGGAGCTACTGGATGTGAGTGTAGGATGTCAGGGAGTCACACCACAGAGGAGCTACTGGACGTGAGTATAGGATGTCAGGGAGTCACACCACAGATGAGCTCTGGCCTCATTGTTCCCTGCACTGATGATTCGTGTTGACCTATAAAGGAAGCATGGTGATTGGTGATATGGCTCAGTGGTAGAATTTTTTTTTAAGGCGGGGTTTCTCTGTGTGGTCCTGGCTGTCCTAGAACTAGTGCTGTAGGCCAGGGTGGCCTCGAAATCACAAAGATCCACCTGCCTCTGCCTCCAGAGTGATGGGTTTAAGATACGTGCCACCACTACCTGGCTAGAATTTTTGCATAGCATGCACAGGCTATAGGCTTGATCCCCACAACTGCAAAAACAAACACAAATACATTAGTGTAGATTAGATAAAGGGGAATTCGCCCTTAAACTCAGCACTCTGGAGGCTCAGACAAGAGGATCACCAGAGTCTGAGGTGACTGGACTCCAGAGTGAGCCCATCTACAAATAACAGGCTTGAATCTGTGCTTCTGTCCTGTCTCCATGTTGTATACACACCGTGATCACACTGCTCTTACTTCTGTAGCTCAGTAGCAGCTTGAAATCGGGATTTGGTTATTTGGTCTAGTTAAGATCTCATGTAAGCTTTTTCTTTTTTCTTTTTTGTCCTTGAGACAGTGCCTTGTGAATCTCAGGCTGGCATCAGGTGACCATGTAGCTATGGATGATTTTGAACTCCTGATCCTCTTGCCTCAATCTGTTAAGAGCTGGCATTATAGTCATGGGCTACAATACCTACTCAACTAACCTTTCTTTTTTAAGATTTATTTTATGAGTGTCTAGGTGTTACAGATGGTTGAGAGCCATTGTGTGGATGCTGAGCCTTGGACTCATGTCCTCTCCAACTGCATCAGTTGCTATTAACCAACCACTGGGCCATCTCTTCAGTCCACCATTTCTTAATTAATTTATTTTTAGATTTCATATGTTTATTATGTATACAATGTTCTGCCTATATTCCGGAAGAGAGCATCAGATCTCACTACAGATGACTGTGAGCCACCATGTAATTTCTGGGAATTGAACTCAGGTCCTCTGAAAGAGCATGAGATAGGGTTTCAATGTTGCCAAGGCTGGCATTGATCTGTTCTTCCTGTCCCTACCTCCTAAAATCTGGGATTATAGACATGTGCTACCAAGCCCAGCCATTTTCTAACTTCTATTTTTTGTCATTGTTGTTTTTGTTTTTTGAGACATGGTTTCTCTGTAGCTTTGGAGGCTGTCCTGAAACTCCGTCTGTGGATCAGGCTGGCCTCAAAACTCAGAGATCTGGGCTGGAGAGATGGCTCAGAGGTTAAGAGCATTGCCTGTTCTTCCAAAGGTTCTGAGTTCAATTCCCAGCAACCACATGGTGGCTCACAACCATCTGTAATGAGATCTGGTGCCCTCTTCTGGCCTGCAGGCATACACGCAGACAGAATATTGTATACATAATAAATAAATAAATATTTAAAAAAAAAAAAAACTCAGAGATCTGCCTGCCTCTACCTCCCGAGTGCTGGGATTAAAGGCGTGCACCGCCGCCATCCAGCTAACTTCTACTTTTTGTGTGTGGGTGTTTTGCCTGCATGCATATCTGTGTACCATCTGTGTGCCTGATGCCTGTGGAGGCCGGAAGAAAGTATCCAGGCCCCTGGAACTGGAGTTACAGAGAACTGTGATCCTCCATGGTGTGCTCGGAACTGGACGAGTCCTCTAGAGCAGAAGCGCTCCCCTAGAGCAGAAGCGCTCCCCTAGAGCAGAAGTGCTCTTCACTGCTGAGCCGTCTCCAGTCCCTTGTGCTGTCATTTGTTGATGTTCTTGGTTTTTTTAAACTGGTATTACTAGGGATTAAACTTTGCCTCCCACATGCTAGGCAAGCACTGAGCTACATCCCAAACCTCCTATTATTTAATATTTAAGTGTTCAGATAGGGTTATAGTGAAAGGCCCCTTTTCTAGACTTAAGGTTGTCTGCTTTCTTATTCATGTAGTTCTCTTGGCATCATATACACTCCTTACTCCCACATTCTTAGGAACTAGAGGCTGCCATTCAGCCAGATACCAGCCTGGTATCAGTTATGACTGTGAACAATGAGATTGGTGTAAAGCAACCGATTGCAGAAATAGGTAAGTATAATGAATAGGTTATCCCTTACCATCCCTGGGGTCCATGTAAGGGGCAGGGACAGACAGAAGATGACAGCCAAGCGGACAAGGGAAGAGCTTCTGTGCCTTGCTGACTGCATTCTAGGTAGCATGGCCACTAGTTTAGTTTTTAGGATGAAGAGTCGAGTGCCCTTCATGTTTGTTTTGTTTTGTTTTTTCAAGACAGGGTTTCTCTGTAGCTTTGGAGCCTATCCTAGAACTTGCTTTGGAGATCAGGCTGGCCTTGAACTCACAAAGATCCACCTGCCTCCCAAATGCTGGGATTAAAGGTGTGTACCACCATCCAGCCTGTTTTTTAATTTTATTTCATATTTTTGCCCCAAATAACAAAACAATAAGAAAAGACCATCTGTCCTTTCTTTATCCTTATTTAGAGTTTACCTTGTAATCTCTATGCAAACTAGCAAAAATATCCACTAATCTTTCCTTCTTTTAAGTAAGAAAGGATTTAAAGGTGATATTGTATCCCCATAGTACATGAGGTGGTATGAAGGATCTTGGGCATCAGCATAGCATGTGTGTGTGTGGTTTGTTGTTTTGCCCTTGATCTATAGAGTAATAGCAGAGAGACTGGGAGTTGGCAGGTATCAGGCGAGGCACAGAGAGGGGAAAGGAGGAGGTGGAAAGGCAGAGAGGGCTTCCATATGCCTAACAGTCGCTTAGTCATTCATGGTACCTTGCAGGGCTGTTGCCAGCTTACTTTCACTGTGCTATGGGTCTTTCTCTCTCATTCATCAGGGAAGATTTGCAATTCCAAAAAGGTGTATTTCCATACTGATGCAGCCCAGGCTGTTGGAAAGATCCCACTTGATGTCAACGATATGAAGATTGATCTCATGAGTATCAGCGGTCACAAACTCTATGGTCCTAAAGGTACCAGCCCCCTGCCTCTTCCTTGAACTTCTCAGCAACCCCTTTGACTGACGCTCATCACAATCATTAGAGACTGTGACTGCTTTCCAAACAAGTTGTATATTCAGAATGGCCTGGAATGTGCTAGTGTCATTCAACAATAGCCCAAGCACTTGCCTCTCTGTGGATGCTGTGTGCACAGTTGGCATTCTTCCTTGATCCCTCCACACTGTCCTTAAAAGGAATATAGATGATAATTTGCCTGAGGGAAACAGGATTCTCTTCATTCAGTTTTCCCTAGACATCTGTAAGTAAAATAAGTGAAAACAAAACAGCTTCCATTAAATAGGGGGATATTACTAGCTGCCCTACCATGCTGGCTGCTAAGGGTTCCCACAGGGTTATAACTCACAGTCTTCTGAGCTCTTTTTGCAGACACCAACTTCTACTCCACTCCAGAGTGCGGCTTGAGTGGGATCTCTTCTGTATCTACTCAGCCTCATCAGGGTCTTGTGATTGGGTCCCACCTGCCTCTGAGTTTGCCGTCTTCCTTGTTCAGTGTCCTGAGTGAGGGGCTGTAGACACGTCTGCCGTGCCATCTTTTACACAGTTGTTCTCTTGATTTTTAAGAACAGCCATACACTCCCTCCCTCCACTCCTTTCTCCTTTTCTTTCTTTTTTGGGATTAAAGGCATGTACTACCACCACCTGGCCCCTCCACTTCGTTTTACCCAAATTATGTATGTTCTGATCTTGCTTTCTCACCTAATAAAACATCTTAAAAGAAATAAAATGTCAGATATGGTAATATAGTTCTCTAATTCCAATGTCCTGGATACAAGTAGATCTCTGTCTGTTCAAGGACAGTCTGGTCTCCATAGTGAATTCCAGGCTAACCAGGTCTTTAGAATTAGACCCGTCTTTTTTTCAGTTTCTCAAGACAGGGTTTCTCTCTGTGTAGCCCTGGCCATCCTGGAACTCACTCTGTAGACCAGGCTGGCCTCAAACTCACAGAGATCAGCCTGCCTCTGTCTCCCAGTGCTGGGATTAAAGGCATGCGCCACCACTGCCCGGTGAGAAAGTTTATTCTTTTTTTTTTTTTAAATATTTATTTATTTATTTATTATGTATACAATATTCTGTTTGTGTGCATGTCTGTAGGCCAGAAGAGGGCACCAGACCTCTTTACAGATGGTTGTGAGCCACCATGTGGTTGCCGGGAATTGAACTCAGGACCTTTGGAAGAGCAGGCAATGCTCTTAACCACTGAGCCATCTCTCCAGCCCGAGAAAGTTTATTCTTGATTACCTATTGAGTTCTAGGTCACCTTAGAGTTCTTGAGACTCTGAAAATCAAACTGAAAGAAAAGGAAAAATGTGGTGCAGGGTTGACAAAATTTTCCTTTCTTTCCTTCTCTTTCATCAGGATTTTGTATCTTTACCTAAGGCTGGCTCTGCCTTCCCAGTGCTGGTAATGTGGGCACGTGCCACCAATCCTGATCTCACCAGATTCCTAACAATGTATTTTAGAGTTTTTACACTGTCAGCATAAAAGAATGTTTTTCCTATAGCTGTTTGGTGTTTCATTGTATTGACATAGGATAAATTACGTTCTCCCAACAATTATTACTTAAGTTATTTGAGTTTATTTTTTTAAGATTTATTTATTAGCCGGGTGGTGGTGGCGCACACCTTTAATCCCAGCACTTGGGAGGCAGAGGCAGGCGGCGGATCTCTGTGAGTTCGAGGCCAGCCTGATCTACAAGAGCTAGTTCCAGGACAGGCTCCCAAAGCTACAGAAAAACCCTGTCTTGAAAAACCGAAAAAAGAAAAAAAAAAGATTTATTTATTTTCTTTTTATGTGTATGAGTGTTTTGCTTGAATGCATCTAAGTGTATTGTGTGAGTGCAATGCCATTGAATTCCCTGGAACTGGAGTTATAGCTGTGTGCGCTGCCATGGGGGGTGTTGGGAACTGAACCTGGATCCTCTGCAAAAGCAACAAACCTTTGAGCCATCTCTCTAGCCGCTAGTGGGTGGTCATTATCTCACCTTCTCTTCCTTCTTCTTCTTGAACTTTATTTTTTGTATTTGGGTTTTGTGCGTGTGTGATTATTTTTAATTATATGTGCAGTCTGTTTTTTGCTCTTAAGAATAATCCTGGGGGGGCTGGAGAGATGGCTCAGAGGTTAAGAGCATTGCCTGCTCTTCCAAAGGTCCTGAGTTCAATTCCCAGCAACCACATGGTGGCTCGCAACCATCTGTAATGGGGTCTGGTGCCCTCTTCTGGCCATACACACAGACAGAATATTGTATACATAATAAATAAATAAATATTTTTTAAAAAAATGGGGCTGGAGAGGTGGCTCAGTGGTTAAGAGCATTGCCTGCTCTTCCAAAGGTCATGAGTTCAATTCCTGGCAACCACATGGCAGCTCACAGCCATCTGTAATGAGGTCTGCTGTCCTCTTCTGGTCTGCAGACACACACACACAGACAGAGTATTGTATACATAATAAATAAATAAATAAATAAATATTTAAAAAAAAGAATAATCCTGGGGCTGGAGAGATGGTTTACTGGCTGCTCATCTAAAGGACCCTGGTTCAAGTCCCAGCACTCACATGGAAGTTCACACCTGTCTATAACTCTAGTTCCAGGCCTTCTGACCCCCTTACCCAGACATACCTGCAGGCAAATAAAAAAAAACATAATTTTTTTTTTTTTTTTTTTTTGGTTTTTCGAGACAGGGTTTCTCTGTGGTTTTGGAGCCTGTCCTGGAACTAGCTCTTGTAGACCAGGCTGGTCTCGAACTCACAGAGATCCGCCTGCCTCCATAAATTTTTTTTTTAATTAATTAGAATAAAAAGAATCCTCTGTTGCGTGGTAGGGAGTTGATCAAAATAATCTTGGTCATTATTCCTGTGGTAACATAATTTATGTTAAATATTTTTGCTAAATAGTAGCTTTTTTCATTTTTTTTTCTTAATTTTTTGTTTGTTTCTTTGATTTTTGAGACAAGGTTTCTTTGTGTAGTCCTGGCTGTCCTGGAACTTGCTCTGTAGATCAGGCTGGCCTCTGCCTCGAGTACTCAGATAAAAGGCGTGCACCACCACTGCCCAGTTCTTTTAATTTGTTTATTTAGGTAAAGTTAGCTGTAAAATTTGAAATAATATTTTAATTTCTTTAGAAAGTAATATTTTGCTTAACCTGTGTCTCTCTTTTTTCTAACAACTTTTTATACAAGGGGTTGGTGCTATCTATATCCGGCGTAGGCCCCGGGTGCGTGTGGAGGCCCTACAGAGTGGCGGCGGGCAGGAGCGGGGTATGCGATCTGGGACAGTGCCCACACCCTTGGTGGTGGGGCTGGGAGCTGCCTGTGAGTTGGCGCAACAGGAGATGGAGGTAGGTACTGGAGAGAGCAGTAGTTCCCCCTCAGAATATCCCCCTGGACAGGATCTTCCATTCAGAAACATCTCAGCATTGCTGAGGCCAATCTGAGGCCAATCTCTGCTGGAAAAGGAAGTCTGAGGAAATCCTATCTTTGAACCAAGTGTGGCATCTTTTCCTTGTAATCCTAGCTGCTTAGGAGCCTGAGGCAGGAGAATTTTCAGTTCAAGATTAGCCTGGACTACATAGCAGGACTGGATCAGAACTGAAAGTAAAGTGCTGGGTCAGCAGTAGAGTGCTTCCCTGGGGTGTGCAAGGCCTTGGGCTCAGTCCCTGTAAGTAAATCTGTGTGCACGGACACAGTTAAATAAAAACCTGCCTTGCCACAGCCCCTGGTTCTCAAGGAGGTGATTGAAGACCCACACATGCCCCGCTTGTACTTACCAGTCCATCTTTCTTTCTTTCTTTCTTTCTTTCTTTCTTTTTTTTTTTCCCGAGACAGGGTTTCTCTATAGCTTTGGAGCCTATCCTAGAACTAGCGCTTGTAGACTGGGTTGGCCTCGAACTCAGAGATCTGCCTTTCTCCCGAGTGCTGGGATTAAAAGTATGAGCCACCACCACCTGGCCAGTCCATCTTTCTCTGGGTTGTTAGAACCTTGTGTTCAGCTCCTGCTCACCTTTTGTACACCAGACAGTGCTGGAGATGCAGCCGTCTCCACATATACCAAGCATTAGAAGGGCCTGTGTGGAGCACAGCTCTTCTGGGTAGAGAAGGGCTTCTGGAATTCCTTGTCGCCGAGCTGGCCGGTGGGCACTGTACTTACTTCTCTCCTACCTGCTCCTTAGTATGACCACAAGAGAATCTCTAAGTTAGCAGAGCGGCTGGTACAGAAGATAATGAGCAGCCTTCCAGATGTGGTGATGAACGGGGACCCCAAACAGCACTACCCTGGTATGGATACGCCCTTTCAATCTGTATTCTGTTTTCCTTCTTAAATTTTATTTGTTATGTGTGCATGGGGGATGCCTGCCACAGTGTACTTGGGGAGGTCAGAGGGCAACTTTGTGGGGTCAGTTCTCTCATTCCATTCTTATATGGGTTAGAGAGATAGAACTTAGGTTATCAAGCTTGTGTAGTAAAGGTGTCACCTGCTGAGCCTTCCTGGTGGCCCCTCCTCAGCCCCACAATTCTGGTTTGTTTGTTTGTTTGTTTGTTTTAAAGATTTATTTATTTGTTGTGTACACAGTGTTCAGCCTCCATGTATGCCTGCAGGCCAGAAGAGGGTGCCAGAGCTCATTACAGATGGTTGTGAGCCACCATGTGGTTGCTGGGATTTGAATTTAGGCCCTCCAGAAGAGCAGTCTCTTAGCCTCTGAGCCATCTCTCCAGCCCCTGGTTTTGTTTTTTAAAAAAATTTTTTTTTAATATTTATTTATTTATTATGTATACAATATTCTGTCTGTGTGTATGTCTGCAGGCCAGAAGAGGGCACCAGACCTCATTACAGATGGTTGTGAGCCACCATGTGGTTGCTGGGAATTGAACTCAGGACCTTTGGAAGAGCAGGCAATGCTCTTAACCACTGAGCCATCTCTCCAGCCCCCTAAAAAAAATTTTTTTAACTACAAAAGTTTGTTTTGTTCGTTTGTTCTGTTCTGTTTTGTTTTGTCTGAACTCACCTCTTTCACGCCAGGCGTGTCTACCCCCAGCTCTGTCTCCAGCTCTCAGACTCCGTTCTGGCAGAGGCTGAGACCCAGAGCCATCATCATGTTCTCTCTTCTTCAGGCTGTATCAACCTCTCCTTTGCGTACGTGGAAGGGGAGAGTCTGCTGATGGCACTCAAGGATGTTGCTTTGTCCTCAGGGAGGTGAGTCGTACCAGGTAGTTAGCTTGTCTGTTGAGTACCCTACATGTCACTGAGCTTCCTGACGGTGGTAAAGGTCACTTTTTAGCTACCAGCCATGGGCTGACGCTCACCATTCTGTCTGGTCTCTCTTAGAGGACTTTAAGACCTAGAATATGTATGTATCTTCTTTGTCTTGAGACAGGATCTCTCTATGTATCCCTGGCTGCCCTGAAACTCTCTGTATAGACCAAGCTGTCCTCAACCTCACATAGATACTCCTGCCTCTGCTTCCTGAGTGGTGGGATTAAAGGTGTGAGCCATTATGCCTGCCTGAAGATGTATGTGTCTTTACAGAGTTAAACAAGCTATTTGTAAGCCAGACACACATTGTGTTTTCTGCTCTAGATGCAGAAGTTTCTCTGGCTCTTTTGTCAGATCAAGTGCATGGATCTGACATGCTCTTTCACCTCTTGACAGTGTCCTTGCTCAAGAAAGTTATCTGCTATAGGTACCAGAGGGGCTGGGTTTACATCCCAAGATGTACAGGGCATCATCAGGCCCATGACATTCCTCTGTCCCTGGGGTGTGATTCCAGGGCCCTGGGAGGGGTGACTCTGGCTATGTCCTATGGGCTAAAGGTTCATGTCTCCCTCCTTAGTGCCTGCACTTCTGCATCACTGGAACCCTCTTACGTGCTCAGAGCAATCGGCACTGATGAGGATTTAGCACACTCTTCTATCAGGTCAGTGCCTTGAGCTGCTGCAGCGCCTGTGTTCGTCCCTCCCAACTCCAGCTCCAGAGAGCTGAGATTACAAGTGTGTGCCCCCATGCCTGGTTTATGCATTTTGGAGAATCATACGTGATAGGCAAGCTTTCTTCCTTCGAGCTATCTCCCTGCCCCTTTCTTGAATATTGGTGAAGATGATGTCTGAGTCCCATGCTCAGATCCTCTGCCCACCACATCTGGGGTAAGTGTAGGAAACTTCTCAGTTGATTCTGATCCCAGCTGTGCTCTAGGAAGCTTTTACCTAGAAGGTAGGTCTGTGCTCTTTTTCCTCTTCCTTTGAGCCAGTAGCTTTCCCAGAGCCCACTCTGCCTCCTGAGGATGACTTTGATTGTTCTGCCTCTGCCTCCCAAGTGCTGGAGTCACAGAAGTCACCTCCATGCCTGTTTAAGCAGTCAGGAATTGGACCCCACACTTCATGTGTGTTAGGCAAGCACTCTACCCACTGAACCAATGGCATCCCTAGCTCTCTCTTTATCTGTTGTTTAGTAGGTCCTCAGTGAGTATTGGCCAAAAAAGAAAACCAAACCAACCCTGGGGTCAGGTAGAGAGCTCTTCTGTGTTCTCTTAGGTTCGGCATTGGCCGCTTCACTACCGAAGAGGAGGTGGACTACACCGTGGAGAAATGCATTCATCATGTGAAACGCCTCCGGGAGATGAGGTACGGGCTGCTGCAGACAGATGCTGCAGAGGAACTGTACTGTCTCCTCTCTGTACGCAAGCTGCCGAAACCCAGGTTCAAGGAGGATATAGATTTTACAAAGGAAGGCAGGAGAACTCCCTGGCTTCTTGTTTTTCAGGTTTTGTTTGTTTGTTCGTATTTTGAGACAGTGTTCCTTTGTATAGCCTTGGCTGTCCTGGAACTCACTCTGTAGACCAGGCTGGCCTCAAACTCGCAGACATCGGACTCCCTCTGCCTCCTAAGTGCTGGAATTAAGGAAGTGCCACACCACCACCCTGACTGGAATGTTTTCAAAATGCAGTCCTAGCAGGGCAAGCCTTTGGTCCCTGAGGCAGGAGGATCTCTGTGAGTTCAAGGTCAGCCTGGTCTATGCGAGCTAGTTCAGGACAGCCAGGACTGTTATACAGAGAAACCCTGTCTCAAAAAACAAAACAAAACAAAATCCTAGGTTTTTATATATAGCACACAGATTGCTTGTCTAACATCAATAAAGGCCCTGGATTTGATCCCAATCATACAAATAACAAGGGAAGGGCTAGGGTTCAAAGCTGGGTGGCAGAGTGGTTGTCAAGAAGGCACGAAACCAAAGCAGGAATCATGCCCAGGTCTGAAATCACAGCCCTCAGGCTGCGGCAGGAAGATTGTGAATGAAACCTTTTCTCAGAAAGAGAAACAAAGGATGGGCTTCAGTAACACTGAAGAAAATTAACTGGAGAAACAGAAGCTGCAGAGTCCAATCGTTGGGTGTAGGGCTGGAACTCAGGAGAGGAGATGGCTGAGTGTGGGTTTAATCTTCAGTGGCAAAAGCAAACAAAATTGTCGTCTCACCGCTACCACCCTCAAAGTCAATCTGGTTTTAAGACCATTGTCCATTAGAGCACATCTGTCTTCCAAAATTTTGTAAATTTTTTTTTTTTTCAAGACACGGTTTCTCTGTAGCTTTGGAGCCTGTCTTGTCACTAGCTCTTGTAGACCAGGCTGGCCTAGAACTCACAGAGATCCGCCTGCCTTTGCCTCCTGAGTGCTGGGATTAAAGGCGTGCGCCACCACTGCCCAGCTGTAAATATTTTTTTCATAAATTTTACATAAAAGTGGTATCCCTAATAAACATACATATAAGCAACATTATCCACAGTCTTATCCACAGTCTTCTCGGTATCATTTCCTGTATAAGAGTGGTGCTCAGGGCTGGAGAGATGGCTCAGTGGTTAAGAGCATTGCCTGTTTTTCCAAAGGTCCTGAGTTCAATTCCCAGCAACCACATGGTGGCTCACAACCATCTGTAATGAGGTCTGGCACCCTCTTCTGGCCTTCAGGTGTACATGCAGAAAGAATATTGTATACATAATAAAAATAAATAAATAAATAAATATTTTAAAAAAAGAGTGGTGTTCAGGCCTAATACCCAGATGTTCTTCCAGGTTAAAGCCATTGATGGTATCTTAAGTTAGGGAGAGCCTGGAAAAGGCTTGTTCGTCTCCTGTGTTGGGGTTCACCAGGGCAAAGGCAGAGGAGGCAAATTCTTGCTTAGGGCTTGAGCACCTGTGTTGGCTGCTTCTTGTCTGAGTCCTTACTCACTCAATGCCTCTTCTCTTTGGCAGTCCCCTCTGGGAGATGGTGCAGGATGGCATCGATCTCAAGAGCATCAAGTGGACCCAGCATTAGAAGAGTGGACCCGTGACTTTGTGCTGACCTGGCCCTTCCTGCCTCACTGACCCTTGTACAACCAGGAACCTTGTTACATGCTGAGTGGTCCATGGTCAAACCAGAAATCGAGTAGCCCTGTTGACTTTACCACAGAAGTTTTCAACTGAGAAATTCCTGAAAGTATCTTTCCTAGCCTCAACCTCTTCCTCAGGAGGAGCTCTACTGTTGTGATTGGACGTTCTTAGCCGGAAGCCTGGAGGCGCTGGCAGGCCACTCCCCCTAGGTGGACCTGCTGTTGGGGAGGTGGCAGAAGCGCAGAAGGCTCTCGATTCTGGATCTTCACTCTGCTCAGCTCGACTGGCACCTGTAGCAACTAGCATAAACAAACTTTATTTTAATCTTTTTTTGTGGCTTCAAAAGACATCTCTTTACGTTGACTGCAGCCAAAACAAGTTTTATTAAAGGCTTGTTTGCTTTGTGTTCTCATCTTCCTTCCTTTCCTTTTCTTTTTTTGTTCATTTGTTTGTTGAGACATGGTTTCTCTGTGTAACAGTCCTGGCTGTCCTGGAATTTTGTAGACAGGCTGGCTTCAAACTCACAGAGATCCACCTGCCTCTGCCTCCCTAGTGCTGGGACTAAAGGTGTTCGCCACCACCCCACCACTGCCCAGCTCCTCTTCCATTCTTTTGATTTAATGAAAATAGAAATATCCATTTGATTCTAATCATTTGTTTATTTTCTTAAACTTTGTTAATTTAAAGATTGGAGAAATAAATAAATTTCCATCCCCCCGCCCCTTATTCTGTGAGTTTTCGAGACTCTGAGGGAGAAGTGCTCTTTTTTCCTTTTTTTTTTTTTTTTTTTTTTGGTTTTTCGAGACTGGGTTTCTCTGTAGCTTTGGTGCCCGTCCCGGAACTAGCTATTGTAGACCAGGCTGGCCTCGAACTCCCAGAGATCCGTCTGCCTCTGCCTCCCGAGTGCTGGGATTAAAGGCTAAGAACTGCTCTTGACAGCTGTGGAGGACACAGTGTCCTCCACCTGCAGCCTGTGCATGGCTCATCTGCTTGCATACCTTTTCTTCCAACAACTAAAAGGATTTGCAGGACACACACTTTATTCTTGGTGTCAGGAATACATTGGTTAATAGAACCAGAAAGAAGACTGCCCCATGAGCTTTCACAGGAGAGGAGGGACGGGGAATCGGAAGTGAACAAAGGCTGTAACAGGTGTGACTATTCTGAGCAACAGTAGGAGAACTGTGAGAATACGTGTTCTAGGGAAGCTGTTCGGGGCTGGCCTAGGGGTTCTGTTGCTGTGAAGAACCACCATGACCATGGCAACTCTTTTTTTTTTTTAAATATTTATTTATTTATTATGTATACAATATTCTGTCTGTGTGTATGTCTGCAGGCCAGAAGAGGGCACCAGACCTCATTACAGATGGTTGTGAGCCACCATGTGGTTGTCGGGAATTGAACTCAGGACCTTTAGAAGAGCAGGCAATGCTCTTAACCACTGAGCCATCTCTCCAGCCCCCGACCATGGCAACTCTTACAAAGAAAACATTTCACTGAAGTGGCTCGCTTATAGTTTCAGTGGTCCAGTCCATTCTTGGCATGACGATGGGCAGGCAGGCATGGTGCTGGAGAGTTCTGGAGCTGAGCTGAGCATCCTGCATCAACCGAAAGCAGGAAGTGAATGCTATATCGGGGGTGGCTTGAGCTTCTGAGACCTCAAAGCCCACCTTCTAGTGGCACACCTACACCAACAAGGCCATGCCTCCTAATAGTGCCACTCCTGGTCAAGCGTTCAAACTTGAGTCTGGGAGTCACATGTAAGCAAAATACTGTGAAGAGGGAGTGATAGCTCCTCAGAAAGGAGGAGGAATAGCCTGAAATAGAAAACCCAAAGAATGCCGTGCAACTAGGGTAGATCATCTGTGTCTGAACTCAGAAGTAGATGTTCATTAACCCTCAAAAAAAGGAATATATGTTAGAATAGGGGCCAGGTGGTGGTGGCGGCGGTGCGCACCTTTAATCCCAGTGCTCAGGAGGCAAAGAGGCAGGCATTGTGAGTTTGAAACCAGCCTGACCTACAGAGCTAGTTCCAGGACAACCAGGGCTACATAGAGAAACCCTGTCTCGAAAAACTAATATATAGTTTTATATAGGAGCTAGTGAGGTGACTCAGCAGTTAAGAGCATTTGCTGTTCTTTTATTTATTTTTCTTTTCGAGACAGGGTTTCTCCATAGCTTTTGGTTCCTGTCCTGGAACTAGCTCTTGTAGACCAGGCTAGCCTCAAACTCCCAGAGATCCACCTGCCTCTGCCTCCCGAGTGCTGGGATTAAAGGCGTGCACCACCACCGCCCTGCGAGCACTTGCTGTTCAGGTCCCAGTGCCTACAGTTCACAACCATCTGTAACTCCAGCTCCATGGAAAAAGTCTTTTAAAAACTGTTAGACTAGATTGCATGATTTTTCCCCATACATTTAATGTTTATATCCCTTCTGTCATATCTCTGACTCTCTCACCAGCGTTGTAAGAGGAAAAAGCATGACTGAAATAATGAGAAACTGGAATCAGTCACTAATGTTAGCAAGGGGGAAGCAAATCATCTAAAAGCCATTAGCAAAGAGCACCCCAAGTAAACAGCTGTGATATAAACAAGATTGTTAGAAAACTGCACCCATCTCTCCCATGCCTGTCTAATGTGCTCCTGCATGGTGGAGAAATACATAGACTACTGTGGGAAGGAAAAATGTGTGTGATGGTAATTCTAACCGACTGTTGCAGAGTGGGGAGGAACACAGCTCTGGATCCTGGGCATGAGTATATTGTAATTTCTTTTATTGGGATAGTGGACACTAGCAAAAATTTTGAAAATGTCTTTTTTTTTTTTTTTTTTTTTTTTTTGGTTTTTTGAGACAGGGTTTCTCTGTGGCTTTGGAGTCTGTCCTGGAACTCGCTCTGTAGACCACCAGGCTGATCTTGAACTCACAGAGATCCGCCTGCCTCTGCCTCCCGAGTGCTGGGATTAAAGGCGTGCACCACCATTGCCCGGCTTGAAAATGTCTCTTAACAGGATTTCAATCATGCCTTTAATCCCAGCACAAGGGAGGCAAAGACAGGTGGATCTCTGAGTTCAAGGCAATCCTGATCTACATAGTGAGTTTCAGGACAGTCAGAGTTACACAGGGACTCTGTCTCATAAATAAATGAATGAATGATAAATTAATTAATTAAAAACATATCTTGGTAACAGTTGGATAGAAGCAAACTTCACTGCAGTGAGTCCACTCCCCTGGCAAGTCTCGCGTGAGAATATTCGGAAGATCTCTTAACAAACCTATTTGTAAGGCCGGGCGGTGGTGGCGCACGCCTTTAATCCCAGCACTCGGGAGGCAGAGGCAGGCGGATCTCTGTGAGTTCGAGACCAGCCTGGTCTACAGAGCTAGTTCCAGGACAGGCTCCAAAGCCACAGGGAAACCCTGTCTCGAAAAACCAAAAAAAAAAAAAAAACAAACCTATTTGTAGTGGTGGAGATGCTCTTCTGTCTGTGTGTGCTTGGGACTGATAACCAGCCATTATCTTTGGAGGAAGTCCCAACGTTTTCTTATATGCCCTTACTAAGTGTATTACCGCTTCTCTTTTTTACATTCTGACTCCATATTGCTCTTACCACCTTAAGGTAAGAGCTACCATTAAGAGCAACCCCACAAACATCATCGCTGTGGTCATCTGAAGTTCTCCACAGATGCCTCACGGTGGCTCTGGCCAAAAGTGAATGATGGAGGCACTGGTCTCTGTTCAGTAGAGTTAGCCATCATCCTCCTGCTTATTTTTCCCTTCTTCCTAAATCTTCTCATCCTTGATAAATGACTAATCAATCTGGGTGTGGTGGGACACTTTAGGTGAGGGCACGCCCCAGAGACTAGGACTGACCAACTCGGCTGCCACCCAGGCCCACCCTAACATCTACCCCACGTATAACCCGCTGGAGCTCGTGAAGGGACTGGTCCTGGGGAATGATACTGGAAGGATCTTCATGACTTTGGCAACAGCAGGATAGTCAAGAGCCTTGGGAAAGGTCCCGTGGTGATGGTGTACCAGGAACCAGAGGCTTCCCATGAGACCAATGACTCACTGCAGTGAACGTTTGCCAAATCAAACTGAATGGATGAGAGTATACTGAGTGAGCCGCTAAGGCTCCCAGCATCACTAAGACGAAAGGAGAGCTGTGGGAGAGTCGGGGAAAGGAGGAGGAGCAAGAGGTTTTTGTTTGCTTGTTTGTTTTGTTGTTTTGTTTTGCTTATTCGAGACAGGGTTTCTCTCTGTAACAGTCCTAGCTGACCTGAAACTAGCTCTTGTAGACCAGGCTGGCCTCGAGCTCACAGAGATCCGCCTGCCTCTGCCTCCCAAGTGGTGGGATTAAAGGTGTGTGCCACATGGCCTGGCAAAGAGGATTTTTTTGTTTTTGTTTGTTTGGTTTGGTTTAATTTGATTTTTTTTTAAATTTTCTTTTGGGTGGATGCAGCAATGGGTGAAAGGCAGATATAGGGGGACTGAGAAATGAGTGGAATTGGGGTAAATGATGTGAAATTCCTAAAGAATCAATAAAGAAATTATGTTAAAACAAAAACCTCTTAGGAATTCCATGGTGCACTGAAGACCAGCAAACTCTTCTAGGACCTCCCTGAGACTCTAGCCCCAGACTGAGCCTGCTAATGTTAATCCCACCAATCGAGAATAAGACTACCACCACAGTTTGAAGCCAAATTGGATGCAAGTTTTAATTAAATACTGTCCAGATGGATGGACTCCACACCCAGGTTCATGGGAAATGGCCTGGAATCACAGTTTGTAGCAGCTTAAGGAGGAAAACCCATAATTCATTGCATTTCCCATCAGGTCCATTGCTGGGGCAAGCGGACATCCTGATATACCTTCATCCTGTGAACCTCCCGCCCACAGCAGACATCCTGATACACCTCCATCCTGTGAACCTCCTGCCCACACGTGATCGAGCACTTTGGTTTGCTTTTTTTTTTTTTTTTTTCGAGGCAGAGTTTCTCTGTGGCTTTGGAGCCTGTCCTGGAACTAGCTCTGTAGACCAGGCTGGTCTCGAACTCACAGAGATCCGCCGCCTGCCTCTGCCTCCCAAGTGCTGGGATTAAAGGCGTGCGCCACCATCGCCTGGCTGATCGAGCACTTTGGTGCAGATGGGTCAAGCAAACTTGTTTAGAGAAATGAAAAACACGGGGCGTGTTATCTCCCATAAACCACAGCCTCCAGCATTTCAGGCGTTATCTGTTCAGGGCCAGGGCCTTACAGATCAGAAGCATTTTATTTCATAAATCTCTTAGGCATAGTAATTAAAACTTAAAATGTAACTTTAGCTCTCACACTAAGGCATTCAGTTTCATGGATTCTTGGTCTTTCAGGGAGGTAGCATGAATTCTAGTTGGTCTTAATAATAAAAACCCAGG